CACCGTAGGGTGCGGTGCCTCACCTGCCCTGCAGGGGGTGCAGTCCGGGATGCGGGTGAAGGTGGAAGTCAGGATGCCAGGCCTGAGGCCCCGCCCCCTGGAAGGGAGCCCCGCCCCCCGGGTAAGGCGGCTCGTAGCGGTACGGGTCGGGCCGCTGCTCGTCCCTAAAGGGAGCAGAGAGTTAGGGTTCTGCTTCCTGTGGGCGGAGCTTAGAACGGGTCAGAACCTCACCAGTCCCTCCTCATGCGCTTGTGCTGCGGGCTGATGTGGCGCGGCGGCGAGAAGCGCTCCCTCCGCCCCCGATCGTAGTCCCGCCTCCTCTCTCTGCCGCGCTCCCAGTCCCTGAAACACAGAGCGCTGCTCAGAACCAGAACCACCGGGTCTGCCCTAACCGACCCGCTCGTCTGATCCAGAGATCAACAAACTGTTTAGAACCGGTCCGTCTCCTTCCTGATCCAACCAGAACCATCTATGACCACAGAGTTCTGCAGGTTCTGGTCCTCCTGGGTCTCTGCAGAACCACGGGGAACAGAACCGTATGGGTCAACCCTAAACAGTACCGGTGAATTAGTAGAACCGGTTCTTTATGGGCCACAGATTCCAGAACTCTCTACATGCTATGAGGGTTAAGATGATCCAGGACCAGAACCAATGGACAGCTGTTGATCGGGTCGGTACCTGGTCCATTTCAGCCTCAGCTTCCTGGTTCTGTTCGGATCACTTTGGATCCACTTCATTGGTTCTGAAGACTCAATCCAAAGCGTCCCAAACGGACCTGGAACTCAGAGGAGACAGAACTCTGGACTGACCCGTCTGGACTGCCGTCTGTCCAACCGGGCCTCAAAGGTTCTGGTCTACCTGGTTGATCCATCTGGGTTTCCTTGCTACAGTAGAGGCATCAGAACCAGAACAGCTGGGTTCTGTGGGTCAGAACCAAACCCCATCAGAACTTCCCACCCAGACAGGAACCGGATCCATTCCAGGCAGAACCAAAACAGTTGGTTCTGACTGGGATGGATCCGGTTCTGTTCTGGTTTCCATCTGAACAAATCTTTCTGGTTCTAAAGAGAATTCTAGATCAATGGGAGGATCTATTGTATCTAGTTCTACGTCGTCTCTCAGCGACCCGTCTGACCAGAACCAGGCAGAGATTCTACTATAGAAGCCAGACGGATCCAGATGTTTCTAGATCTGCTGAAACTAGAAGCTCCAAACAGAACCAGAATGGACCGGTCCCTCTCCCAGTAGAACCGTGATCCGGACCTGTCCGCCCAGTCGTCTCTCCTCCTGTCCTCCCGCTCTCTGGACCGCTCCATGTCGCTGCGCTCCCTCCGGAACTTGTCCCGCCTCCTGCGGTCGAACTCGTCATCGCTGTCGGCCATCTGACGGAAACGCACAAAGTTAGACCCGCCCACCAGAACCAGTTTAAACCAGTTTCAGAAACTGGTTTAAGTTAGACAGGAGACGGACGTCAGCAGAGCAGGTCCCCTGGTGGGTCCATGTCCTCAGAGAACCTGCAGGACCTGAGAGTCCTCGTGAGACACGAGTCCGCACTAACGTTCCAGTGAATTTACAAACAGCCAATAACAAAACTCTGCTGATTAAATTAAAAGATAAAACAATGTGATTGGCTCTAAGGAGGAATGTTACCATGGCAACAGGGACAGATGTTAAGGAAACTGATTCCAGGTTTAGCAAACTTGTTTCAGTAAACCTGCTTTGACAGAAGGACCACAGGTCCAACCCAGAAACCTCACTTTGGTTTGTTTACTGTGACGTCATTAATAAAGGACCAATGAGATGAACAGAAAATGAACCATAACAGCATTTAGCTTTAAATCAAAGGATCCTAAAAGCTTTTTATCCAGAATAAACTGATGCATCAGCAAATCTCTGACCGCTGATTGGTCCATCTGATGATCAATTACTGAACGTTTGTTTGGTAAACATGATTAGCATCTGTGTTAGCTTCATTTTTAGCCTGTTAGCCCCTCTGATGTTCTAATATAGATCGTTAAACTCTTAACAACCGAAAACAAACTGGATCTAAAAGCTCATCCTGAATATTTTATAAATGATTTATTCTCAGCATCATTGCCTCTGCAGCCTGGTCTCCTCACCTTAGCTCCTGCAGCTAGCAGCTCTGTTAGCATCGGAGCTAACTGGAATTAATGATAAATATGCAGCCCTGGGTTTATAAGCATTAATGAGGACCGATCCCAGCCTGAACACAAACATTATCTGTGGGTTTCTGGGTGAAGTTTACCTCCAGCTGCTCCGCTTCTTCTCTCAGACCTCCACCTAGCCGCTAGGCTAACGGACTGCCGCCACAGATCACCGGGAAACAACGACACTTCCGGTTCAGCACATCTCTGTAAATCAGGCCACTGAGCAGCTCCCCTAGCGGTCAGACCGGGTACTGCAGTCTGTTTAATGGACCATAAACTGCAGGTTGGTCACACTGGGCCTCAGGCAGCAACATGTTCAGATTATTGTTGGAAATATCTATTCCTTTCCTCCTACTAACCGGCTGCATCAGATATACAGAAAGAAATGTATGAAAATAAGTTCATTTATTGAAATT